ACTGTTCTTCTAGTTTCATGGCAGAGGAAGCAGTTGTTCATAGAAGCAATTACCCACACATTTCATTCTTCCTTCTTATTCCTGACTTTCTTTCTTCCTGTGTTGCTCCAGGAGAATAGAGGCCAATTGTTGTGCCTTGTTTGGCTATTTACAAACTTTCAAGACTGTAGGAACCCTGCAACAAACTAGGAGGTAGAACAGAAGCACTAAACACGTTATTAGGCCTATTAACTGGGATGTCCTGTGAAACCATGACCCTAAACCTCCAAACCAAGAAACAAATTCCATAAGGTGTTTGGCTGTACATAAGCATCCTCAGCTTGTTATTGTTGTAAATCGTACTATAGTATCTTAAAAGCCTAAATATACGTAAACTTACCATATGACTCAGCAATTACAGTATGGGCATTTATCACAGAGAAATAAAAATATATGTCCACACAAAAATGTGTACATGTATGTTCAAAGCTGCTCTATTTATTAAAGCCAAAATACCGGAAACAAGCTAAATGTTCATCTCTAGGTGAATGAATAAACAAACTGTGAAACATCCATACCATGGACTACTCAGCAATAAAAAGGAATAAACTATTGATATATATAACGACTTGGATAAATCTCAAGATAATTATGCTGAATAAAAAAAGCTAGTCTCAAAAAGTTACATACTGTATAATTCCATTTATATAATGTTCTCAAAATGACAAAATTATAGAGATGCAGAACAGATTAATAGTTGCCGCATTTGGGAGGAAGGAAAGGAGATGTGTGTGATTATAAAGAGGTAGTACAAAGGATTATTTGGTGTTTGGCACAGCTCTGTATCTTGACTGTGGCAGTGATTTGATGAATCTACTTATGTAGTAAAATTATGTACAACTGTACACATATATACACACAAATAGAGTGCATGTAAAACTGGTGAAATCTGAATAGGCCTGACTGTGGACCTGGTCTTGATATTGTATTATAGTCATATATAAGGTGCTACCATTGAGAGAATCTTGGGTGAAGGGAACAAGGACACCTCTGTGTACTATTTTTGCAACTTCTTGTGAATCTGTATTTCTAAATAAAAAATAAAGCAAATTGTCAAAATGTTCAGATACAATAAATTTGGGTGGTGGTTATATGGTGTTTGTTATATTATCTCCAATTTTCATGTATGTATGTAATTTGTTGTTGTTGTTGTTGTTATGTGCCGTCGAGTCGGCCCCGACTCATAGCGACCCCTCCTTGGGTTTCCGAGGCAGTATCACTACGGAAGTAGGAT